CTCCCCGTAGTTGCGCGCGCGTGCATGCGGCCAATCGGCGGCGCGATCCGCAAGCGGGTTTGCGCACCCATGGGCACGGCGGAGGACCAGGGCGAGATATGTTGGCACGGGCACGGTAATGCGAGCGCTTGTCTTGGCCTCTGCGCTGGAGCTGCTCGCAACCGCCGGCGTGCAGCATGGCACGGCACATGTCTTGAATCGGCTTCCCCGGGGCCCTCCCAGGGACAAATCTCCCACAGCAGATGCAGAGCAGAACCAGAGGGAGAGGGGCCGAGCGGTCTTGCACTGTCCCTGGGTGCGTGGCCGAAGTGGGGTTCCGCGGTGCCGATTGTTGGTGGTCGTCGTCATCACCCACGACCCGCCCGCGGCCCACCAGGCGACCCACCCGCGACCCACGAACCACTGGCGACCCAGCCGCAGTGTTCTGACCAGAAAAGGAGCCTGTTGCGTGCTCGTTGTGTAGTGTAGTGTGTAAAACATAGGCGTTTGCGGCGGGCTCCTTCACATGTGCTTTTGAGCTTCGCAAACTGCCAGCGACCCCCCCCCCGCCCCTCTCACCAATCTCCGCAGCTGCGGGGGCCATGGTGTTCCAGCCCGGTCGCATCCACACCTCTGCTTGCAGCAACGCGTGGCCTCCATACTGGGAAAGCATGCGTTTACGGCACACTCCGCGAGTGGTCCAAGCCGAGATGCACGTCTGAAGACGGCTATTTTTGGAGGCGCCGTCCAAGAAGGACAGATTTACGTTGGGAGGAGGGCGAACAGGGGGAGGGAGGGGGAGAGGAATGAGGCGGGGTGGCGGATGGACGGGTGGGCACGAGGACCGCATGTTACGAAGACTGCCCGCCGTTCTCTGGACGGGGCAGGGCTGGAGACGTGAGCCTCTGCAGGGTGGGAAGCTGCTCGTGCTGTGTCCTCCACCTGCTGCTTTGCCATCTCCAGAAACCCAGCGGCCCGAATACATCGAGAGCCTTTTTGTCTCTCTCGTGCTTTGGTTTTCGGATACTGATTCCAGGCTTTTGGCCGTCAAGCAGCGAAGTGTGACGAAAAACATACCCTGTGGAAGTTATCCATAGGTCTGTGGCCCCCACGTCTCGAACAAACACATCGAGCCACCAGATGTGTTGGTCCTGTTCGTGCAGCGAATGTCAGGGTATCCGTTACTTTCATGGTGAAGGAACCAACACACATGCTTATGCCGGTATCGTCTGCTTTGGCCAGATCGCTACTTCAGCATATTGCTGCATGTGATTCGCAGGTCTTGAAATCGTGCAATTTCTCTTCTGCGCCCCCCTTTATCCTTATTCGCGCCCACTCATTTTTATCCCTCCCCCTCACGTTATCCTCCGTTCCTCTGATAAGCCTCCTACCCTCTCCCTCCCTCAGGCCAGCGTTGCGCCCATGTGGTTGCCTGGTTCACAGGAGCTCTGCGATGGCGGCGAAACTGACGCAGCTGGCGCAGTCGGCGCACATAGCGAACATGACTCCCCTGGTGCACTAATGGTGGGGTACCTGTAGTGCCTGACGCACCTGGAACACCTGGTGCACCTGGCGCTCCTGACGCACCTGACGCACCTGTCGCCTTTGGCGTATCCAGCGCACCTTGCACGTAGCGCACTTGGCGCGCATGATCGTTGGCTTTCCGCGGCTCTGGATGGGATGACGAGCTCTGCCATTGCAGAGTCTCGGGTGCTTTCCACGTGTGCGAGGAGGGTACATCGGAATGAGCTAGACCAGTCGTGGCTTCTGATGGAAATTCAACCCCTGAACCGACCATCCTCTCCTCTCCTCTCCCTCTCCCTCGTCGTCGTCGTCGTCGTCGTGGTCGTCGTCGTCGTCGTCCTTTTCCTCATCCTCCTCTCCAGACGCCGACGTCCTGATTCTCTCCAGGGGCATTTTGGACCCCAGACCTCTCGACCCCTCGACCCCCCTCCCGGAAGGCGGCTTCCGTCCTGCGTCTCGCTTCGATTGTCCCAGGGCCCGGGTGCGCAGTCGCTGCGTTCGACCCGGGCCTCCTCGGAACCTGCTCCCAGGCCCCTCCCAGGGCGCGCTTCGGGAAAGAATCCCAGGGCACCGCCGGCCGAGGCGGCGAGGAGCCTCCCCGAGGGTCCCAAGGCCACCACGCATCACAGGTCCAGAACTGTTGCCCTCGGACCTCGATCATGCTCTTCCCTCTTCCTCCGACCTCGTGATTTGGTAGTGACGTGGGCCTTGCAGGAACCTCAACCCCTTCCCGGTGCCGGTTTTCCATCAGGAGTATTTGTGTTCGCGGTCCCTAGCCTAGGGAACGGCTCAGAGTGCACGTACAGCCGTCACGCTTTTGCTGCGACTCTCAGACCTCATGGTGCCCCTCCTTACCCCGTCCTGACCCAGTCATTATCGTCTGCTTCTTTTCTCAGTACGGGGTCTCTGGAAGTCCCGACCCTCTCCGCGTGGTCGTTTTTGTTCCATCCTCCGTCGTGTTGCGACGGCCACGGGGCCCGACATCGGCCCCCAGTCAACGAAAAACCTCAGTCCAGATTTTCTTCTAGACGTCGGATGTCTGGGGCGCCGGCGCCGCAGACGATTTCTCGTCTCCAATCCCCGAGTTTCTCCCCAACAGTTGGCCGTTCAGAAGAGAAGAGGAGCGCAGGGATAGTTTCACTTCCAGGGTTATTCGGACGCACATCCTACCTTCTCAGGAGCTTCTGGGCGCGTCTACATCCCCAGGACGAAAGTTTTTTCCTCTTGGGCCCGGAACGAAGGTTTAAAGTCCGAAGCAGACGCGTGTGAGATACCCGCCGTCGGATCCAATGAAGGCCGCGCGAATCCAATTTTGGTTTTGGTGTGTTTCGGTGGATCCGATTTCTGTCCGCGCGGATCCGATTTCGGATTTGCTGAAACCGTGTCCGGTCTTATTTTTCACGGCGGATCCGATTTCTACCCTGTTTTAAATTTATATAATTAAATTGGGAAGAAATCGGATCCGCGGACCCCGCAAACCGCCCGTGTTAAGATTCTACGGGGGATGGGGGGTTCGGTAATTAACTCTCCACGATGGGCGTTGCGTCGTCTCGCGCACACCCACCAGCTCCCCGCGCGCGCGGGTCCCATTCGAAATGAATGCATACATCCCTCTCACCCCGGTTGTTGCAAACAGCTCGTCTGGTCGCCGTCCGTTCCGGCGCCGACGTTGTCTTGCGAACTCCTCATGGCCATTTGCACCTCAAGGGGAAAATCTTTCGTCCTGCGTAAGTAAGAAGGCCCCAGTTTTCTCAGAAGCCACCATCGTTTCTCAGAAGGCCCCCCCCCGCCTCCTGCGCGACCGTCGACGACGCCGACGCCCACGCCGACGCCGACGCCGACGACCACCACCACCAACACCACCACCACCACGACGACGACGACGACGACGCCATCGCCGCCGACGCCGTCGCCGACGCCGACGCCACCGACGACGACGACGACGACAACGACGACGACGACAACATGCCCCCCCGTTGCGCTCGGCAGGGCGCAGCGGGTGTCCACCAGCCCACGCTGTTCAGCCTCGACAACCACCAGGCTGCCCCCCCCCCCATCCGAAGCCGGGCGGCGCCAGCCCCCGGGGCCGCGGGGAGGAGCGCAGCCCCCGGGGGTGGATGCCCGCCGCCCAGGTGGGGTGCGAGCAGGTGGGGTCCCAGAGGTCGGGGGCAGAGTCCACCCACAGCGAGAAGGGTTGTCCAACTCTAGGCGCTTCGCTCGCGTTCTGCCCGTGGCCTTTTCTGTGCCTTGATGTCCGTCTTGGCCTCGCTTCCGATTGCGGTTCGGCTGGAGCTTGGCGCCGCAAGGGCGACTTCTCCCCCCCGTTCCGTTGCCGGTTGCCGCGCCTTTTGCTTCCCCACCAGCCGGGCTGTCTGGGCCCGTCACCGCCAGACGCTGAATTGCGTCTCAATGAGGGGCATTCTGTCCCTGGCATGTGCATGCGCCACTGCGTGTGTTGTCCGCTGGAGTCTGCGGCAATCTCGCGCCAATGATCTACGTACCGCGCACCGGACGTTGTGCCCGCTCCGTGTCCCTCGCCTGGGAGCCGCGAGCCAAAATAAGGTATCCCCACCAGCCCATCCAGGAACAGCGTCCAGGCGAGCTGAGGTGATCGGGGAAGTGCGGGAGCATAGAGGTGGACGGCCGAACGCCGAACCGTTCGAAGGAGGGAGGAGGAGGCTGGATGGATTAATGAGGGAGTGGGGAGAAGGAAGACGAATAGGATGATGATGAGGAGGAGGAGGACGAGGAGGATGATGAGGAGGAGGAGGAAGAGAAGGAGGAGGAGGAGGAGAGGAGGAGGAGAGGAGGGGAGGAGGAGAGAGGAGGAGGAGGAGGAGGCGGAGGGGGGCAGGCTAAAGGGCCAGAGGTTTCTTGGATGCCTCTCGGAGCCTCTTTGGATATCTATTGGGTTTTTTGGAGGCCTCTTGGGACGTCTTGGGGATTTCTCGGCGGTCCTGGGGTTTTTGGGGCGTCTTGGGTGCCTCGGTATCCAATGTTTCACACACGTGCTGTGGCAGCTGGCAGTCTGGCGTGCCGCTCGGGCGCGCCCGCGGCGGCCCCCGCGACGGCCCCCGCGGGGCTGCCCCGCGGCCGGCGCTGCCCCGCCCGCCGGGCCGGCCTCTGCGGGGGTGGCCACCAGGGCCTGCGGCCAGCAGCAGGACGCCAGTGCCCCCGGCGCGGTCGCCGCACGGCGGCCCACGTGAGCAGGCACAGGTTGCCAGAAGCCCAACATTTGGTGCCCATGCCCATGCCAAATCAAGCGCACGCACGCTCTAGCCACAGGCGTCTATGGACACATTGGGTGCCGCTGCGCCCACAGGCGCATTCGGGTGGATGCGTCTGTGGGCAGCGTGGCCGCTGCGTTCGACGCGGTGCAAGGTCGGAGGGAGGGTAGGTCCGTCTGGGGTGCGTTCCTGTCCTAGACCAGCTTCCACATGGCACTCCCACTCCCAGATGTGTTCCGAGCAGTTGGTGCTTCAGAGGAGGAAAAGGTACCGATGTTGCTACCCTTCCCTCGCTTTCGCCTTTGTGGGCCTCACGGGAGGCCCTCTTCGCCACCATTGGCTTCACCTCGAAGCGCGCCGCATCGGCGATGCATCGGAATGTGCAGGCCGGTTCTCGTCGCGTCGACGTCGCTGGTGCATGCCCGATGTTACGCGCGGTGCGGCGCGACCCTGCGACCCCATCTGCTCGGACCCCATGTGGGAGGCCTCCAGGAGAACGTTTTTGTTGACGTTGAGGGATCGCTGCGTCGGCCACGGGGCCTGGCAAGGGCCCCCGCGGGCGGCCTCTAATCGGAGCAGGCGACGGCCGCCCTCGCTCTCTCTGGGCGCTGGAGGTCTGGCCCCCCGCCGCCGCTGGCTGCGCGGCCCTTCGCGCCCGCCGCCCGGCGGGCGCCCTCCCCTCGGCCCCGGCGCGGCCCCGCCCTCTCCGCGGGTCGGACGGCATCCGGGCATCGGGCAGCTCTAGAGGGGGCCGGGGCTCGGGGGTGACGACTGGGGGGGGTGATGACTGGGGGGGGATATTATGGCGGGGGCCATGATATTTCCCCAGACTTCGTGGCGCCTCTTCTTATTTCATTACGTCCCTATAGCCCCCCCGCTGGGCCGCGCACGTGCCGGCGGTCGTGATTTGCAACTCCTTAACTTGGACCCCCCCCTCTTGGCCGCTCCCGAGGGGAGCATATCCGTTTCCACGCCTGCGCGAGTTGGCTTCCAGGGCGAGATCCCGCGGACACGTTCCTCGCGGGGCATCCGCGGGTTCGCGCCCCAGGGGCCCATCCCGCGAGGCCGCGGTACAGAGACGTTTCTGACCACGACGGGAACTCCGGGCCGCCAGTGTTGCTAGTTCGTTTGCTTCCCGCAGCCGGTTCCAGGCCCCAGGGGGCCAGCAAGACACAGCTCGGGCTCGGTCCCATGGAGAGTGGTCCAGAAAAATCTGGGGGCCCAGGTCTTCCCATAATCGGGACGGCGGAGTGTTTGGGGGATCAAGCGGCCGGGGCCAGCCCCTCCATTTTTTTCCAGCCCTCGGCCAGGGTTCCCTATCCGACTTCTTTTTGCGAGCCCTGGCGGCCTCCTCCCAGCTGTTCCCGGCTCGCACCGGCCCCTGCCAGTTTTGTCCCGCCCCGGCACATGTCACGGCATTTCCCATGTGTGCTCGCTCGTTCCGGCTGCTCTGCGCGAGATCTGCCGCGTGCAGCTGGTCTCGGCCTTGCCGCCAGCCGCCTCCCTCGATACCTGGCTGCCTCTGGCGCAGGGAGGCGTGCGAGCGGCTTCGCGGGCCATCCCTCCGCCCCGATCTGCTGATCGAGCCTGCCCATCTTCCGAGCTGGGAGGGCAGCAGGGGGGTGGCGAGGGGTCGAGGTTAGATCCAAACCCCCTCGCGTCGTGAGACGCGGGGCGCGCGGTTTTGGTTCGCGGTTCGGCAGTGCGAGCCAGGGGCCGTCAGAAGTCGACTCGGGATACACCTGGTCCTGAGACGAGGTTCGGACCTACGGGGGTTCGCGCTGTGAGCAGACCACGACGTCGGAAGACTGGGGGGTGCTCGAGGTTCGAGGCATTCTTGAGGGGTTCCGGGCGGCTTCCCGCCACCGCATCCGCATGCGCCATGACCTCTTGGCCATTGGGCACCCCAGGACGATTCCCGAGGGAGGGTCGGGTCTGACGACAACGGGGGGGGGCGCTTGGGAAAGGGGGGCGATGAGAGCGACTGCAAGCGGCTGGTTTCGACCCTCTCGCTGGGCGCGCTCCTCGATGCAGGGGCGGCTCTGGCGCCGAGATGCGCCAGCGGGAGCCGGGCCGTGAGCTGATCCTCAAATTCCCCCTGTTGCCCGCCCTTCTCCTGCGACCCGACTGGAGGGGGGGGAGGGGGGGGCACGGCGAGCGAGCGTTGCCGAACGCTGCCGTCGGGAACTCTGCTCGAAGAAGCTTGCCTTGGGGGGGCAGGAGGAGGGGGATCTGGCGCGGGGGGTGCGGCCTGTCAGAATCAGGCGATCGCAAACATGGATCAAGGGGGCGTGGATTAGCGACGGGCCCCGTTTCCGTTGGAAATTGCGGATTTCTGCCGCTGGACGGGGCGGCACCGGCCGCATTTTGGGGAGGGCATCTCCCCCGATCCATGGATTACGCGACCGCGCGCCAAATCCATGGATTGCTAATCCATGTTTGCGCGCCCCCGACAGAAGGTGCGGGGTTCCCTGCAGGCCTCCCCGGAGGGGCGTGTAGGCTGCTTTGGAGGCTGCCTGGAAGCCCGGAGGGCTTCCAGGAACCCGCGTGCCCTCTGAGAAGCCCCCCCCCCGTCTTCTCGGCAGACCGCCTCCCCCCTCGGACCACCCCCGTGTGCTCGCCGCACAAGGATGGTGCTGAAGGCGTGGATGACAATCGAGCAGAGCACTGTCCATTCGTCGGGGCGCACCGGCTCCTCAAGAGTCGCCTCGTGGGCTGCGACCGTCCTTCGCGGAAGGGACTTGCACGCCATCACCACCATGCCTGGCCAGGGCCATCCTGGACCCCAGGATGGTGTATGACCCTCCCGCCGCGACCACCATTGAGGAGGGAAAAAAACACAGACACAAGAAATCGTCGATTCCCCAGAAAATATGGGAAAATATGGGAAGTGGGGTGGAAGACAAAAACCCAGAAAATATGGGAACATATGGGGGATATTTTTATTTGTGTGTATTTATTTATGTGTCCCAGTTCCCCTTCAACCATGCCTGGCCAGGGCCGTCCTGGGCTCCACTTCAGGACTGTGAATGGACCCTCACGGCTTCGGCCACGAGGACATATGAACGACGACGCAGAAAAACGGGGTCGTCTTCATCGACATTGGCGCGTAAGCGTCCCGCGTAAGGTCACGCGCAAGCCCCCTCGTTTCCAACGTAGCGTGCCGCGCTGGCGGCCCGCGCAAGCCACAGCGTAAAGTGTCGTCTCGCGTAAGGCACGTTTTTGTTCCGTCGCTCGTGTGCACCATGCCTCTGCCTAAGCCGGCTATGGCCATCGAGGGAGGAAAAACCGCCCAGACCGGACAAAAGGCGTTTACTAAACAGCCCTGGACGCTTACTAAGCGCCCTCCGCCCGCGGCACCGCACTCCCGCTGGGCCCGGGGGCGGCCCACCTGGAGGGCAGGCCGCCGGCGCTTCTCGCGGCTCGCCGGCGCTTCGCGCGCCACCTCGCGCGACGTCCTGGACGCCGGGCCAGGCGGCCTGGCGGGCACAGCGCAGGAGTCCTGCAGTGCCCTCTGCTCGGGGGCGTCCAGAGCCTGTTTTTTTTCTTGCCCCTCCCCCCTCCTCCCCCCGATCACGTCACGCTGTTCCCCCCACATGTCATGTCTCCCCCTTTTCCTCCCCCGCCCCCCGATCACGCCCGTTATCGCGGATACCAAAAAAAGCAGGCTTTTAAGGGGGGGGATGTCTCATGGCCAGGGCCATGATGCCATGGTGTCACCCCAGGCTTCATGGCCCAGATTCTTGCTTCTCTGCGCTCCCTGGCCCCCCCTGCGCCGCGCGCGTGCCTCGGGCCATGATGTGCGAGCCGCCCTCTTGGACGCCCTCTTCGTGGACCGCCCCCCAAGTCTTGCGGTGCCATTTCTTGCGGCCTCGTTCCCCCCTCTTCCCTCGGGAATTCCATGCGGATGTCTCAGATCGGCGCTGGGCACCCCCTGGCAGTGTCTCTGGCGCCGCGTCTTGCGCGTTCCGCGCGCCATGGAGGGGGGCCCAGGCCAGGGCCGATCCGAGAAATCCGTGCGGACCTTCGAAGTTTGTGCCAGTGTTGTTATCATATCTTCAATCTTCTATGCATGGCCTTTCGAGCGCTGACCGGCATTCGGCTCGCGCCCTTGGACGCGAGAACCAACCCCTACCCCCGCAGCACAGATTCTTCTCCTTGCCTTCTCCTCCTCTCGGAGAGGTCTGGCACACACAAAGATGAGCCTCTTGGATCGCCGCCAGGGGGGGGTCCAGAGCGCCGATCCAGGAAGTCCGCGCGCACCTCTCTCCCCCAGCCCTGCATTCCTCTGCATGCTCCTCCACAGACATGGTCAGAGCAACTCGCTTGGGCATCGCTTGTGGATGGGCTGGTTGGGTTGCGCGAAGCATCTCCTCTGCACCTCCGTGTCTTGCCCGATCCTCCCAGCCCTTGTCGCCCAGCTCTTGTCGCCCAGCCCTCCTCGCCCAGGCATCGTGCGACGGCATGGCGTCCCGCGCGCTCGTGTCCAAGGCGCCGGCCCTGTCGGGGGCAGGGCCCCAACTTGTCAAGCAGTGGCGAAGCGTCCTGGCGCGCCTATAGGCTAACCTAAAATGTTCTAAGAACATGATGTGGTCTTCACGAAATGCTCTTGGAACATTTCTGGCTGAGGCTGCTTTGTTTAATCACATTGGTTTCATGTTCCAAGCACGTTGTTTGGTTTTTAGACATGCTTGGGTTCTAAAGCATTCCGTAATAGGCCTATAGGAATGCCAGGGCGGTCGGTCCCAACCTGGGATCCGCCCAAGAGGGAGGGCTCGGGTCCAGAAGAGGGGGAGACACTGGGAGAGGAGTGGTGCCCAGACCGCAAGGCGGTCGCTTTGTTATTTTTGCCGATGGGCGCGGGCTCTCGCCCCCCCTCCAGGGCTCATTTCGATTCCTCCAATTCGATTCGATTCGATCTCGATGGCCTCCGATTCCGATTCCGATTCGACTTCGGATTCCGATTTTGGGTCCCATTTCTCAATGGAGGACTACTGGCCTGCCGACGTAACTTCTCCCGACTCGGCTGCCGATTTCCGCCGATCAGACTCATTTCGATCGCTGGTCCGACTCATCGATTCGATTCTGGGCTCTCCCCCCCCCCACGGAGTAGATCCTGGCTTTTTGTTAGCGCCTTTCTCCAGCAGGTGGAGTCCCCCCCGTAGGACGCACTGCTGCAAGCAGTCGCATGAAGCAGAGGTCCGCAGCCAGACCCCCCCCCCTCCCCCTTCCCCCCCTTCCGCCCAATATCGAAACGCCGAATGAGAAAACGTCGCAAGCGTCATGACGAAAATCAAGACGGAGGTTTCTGCCGTTTTCGGCGTCTGGGGGCTGGTGTTGCGCTCGACCATCCAAGAAGGATTTGGTATGAAAAGCCAGTCCCCGGGAAGAGGTCCCAGGGCCGCTGATTGGTCAAACAGAACAGTATACGGGGATCTAGGCCAGTTGCGTGGTCGCCTCTAGCGTCTGGAGGAGCTGGGAAGACCAGCTGCGTGCGACTGATTCGCTAACCTCCCTTTTACTGTCGCCCCCTCGCTCGGCCCGAGATACAGAGGAGGAGGAGGAGGAGGAGGAGGAGGAGGAGGAGGAGGAGGAGGAGGAGGAGGAGCAGGGGAGGAGGAGGAGGAGGAGGAGGAAGAGGAAAGGGAGGAAAGAGGAGACGCAGGAGTAGACGGAGCATGAGGATCCGGTGAAAGAGGTTTTGGGAGAACTCATGGGGACGGCGAAGACGGGAAGCGCATCGGATCTGGAAATGTGGCCCAATGAAGAAAGACGGGAGCCGAGCACCGATCCTGAATTGTGGTCACCGCTGCAGCGGGAGGAGCACAACCTTTGAACCATTGAAGACAAGACGCTCCGACTACATAATAGCATGCCATGCTTTGATACTTTGCGCGTCAAAAGGTATCTGTACGCGGGAGAGTCGGGCCCTCGGCTGAAAAGGGTCAGGGCCGGGAGGAGAGCAGCACTCGTAGTGTGCGATTCTGATCGTTTTTTATTCGTTGTTTTGCCGATCTGCGCGGGACCTCGCCCCCCCCCTTCCCCTCCCCCCTGGAGTGGATCTTGGGTTTTTTTTGACGCTTGTTTCGAGCAGGTGGAGTCCCTTCCCCATAGGACGCACTGTCGCAAACAGTCGCACTTAGCAGAGGTCCGGAGCCAGACCCCCCCCTGCCCCTCCTTTCCGCCCAATACCGACACGCCGAACAAAAAAATTCGCATTGTGGAGGATGAGGATGCTCTGGGGGCGTTGGGAGGCCTCTGGAGTTCCGCGCGGATTTCTTGGGTCGTCGCTTACCCCTCCCTGGCGGCGCCTCGGCCGCCGTCCCTGGTGTGCGGAGCGCGCCAGGGGAGGTGGGCCAGGCGCTATCTACCTGGCGGGGTCCTTGGTGCGGGTCCAGATTGTCTGGAGGATCTGGGGGGAGTGGACGGGTACGGCACGAGACATCCACGACAGACGACCGACCGCAAAAAGAAGAAACGAAGCACGAGCCATAGTAGGGAGGTGACCAGTTATAGAGTCTGTGATCCCACCCCCCAGCCTGAGCCAGACTTCTGGATCCGCTGTGGCCAGGGGGCGGGGGAACGGTATCATCCTGGAGTCAGATTTACCCTTAACTGCATCAAGCCTTTAAGAACCCCCCCCCCCACCCCACCCACCACCCCTCATCCGGTGAAAGTATAACGCATCCGGCACCCGGGAAGCGTTACCTCGGCACCGGAGGAGCCCGCAGGCAATCGTTTGCTGGTCAGTGAAATGTCCTAGGAAATTCACAGCATATCCAAAGGCATCCCCAAGGATTTCTTCTTGCGCGGCGCGCGACGCGCCACGGAATTTTGTTTTTTCATGTGCGCGAGGTGCTAAAGATATCGCTCTGCGAAAACGACCCCCTGAAAATGTTAAATCTTGGTGCGGTGCTAACGATAACCCTGGGGGGGGGTCTTAAAGGCTTTCCGGGGCTGTCCGCTGGGTTGTATCCCGGCAGGAAGATTCTTCTGTTGCGAGCGGCTCGCCCGCTCACATCTGGGGGTCGGGGAGGGCCGCGGTCAAGGAGCAGGTCCCCAGCAGCGCCCGTGGAGTGAAGACCACACCGAGTTCAAAGCACCATGCAGCCTCTCGAGACCCAACACCCACGTGTGCCCGCCAGCCTTCCGGATCTTGGGGAGTAGTGTCGGGACAAAGACCACACAAACAAATACCCAGGCTGAACAACGAAAAACGGTGGGGGAAGGGTCGGGACCCCCACGACCCCGTATTGAAGACATCAAGCCATCGGATCTCTTTGGGTGAGGAATGGGACGAAGCTGTCCCCAGGGGGCATGGGGAGGTGCCAGCCGCCTCCAGTCTATTTGATCTGAGCCGCGAGACGTCCATGGGCCCTCTTGCCCCCCCTTGCCTCCTCGCCTCCAGCCTGGCCCTGGCAGGACGCCCCCGCCCTCATCGCCGAGGGCTCGTGCCCTGCCCGCTCGGAGGTCCCCTGGCGTTCGACGCGTGCCCTTGCATGACCTCCGGGGAGCTCCCCGTCTTGGCGGCCGATTCCGGCTCGACATGTTGGCCGAGTGGCTCCCCTGGACCTGGTCCGAGGGCCGATCTCCGTGGTCGGCAAAGGACCTGTATCCGCGGCCTCGCAGGCCGGGCCCCGGGGCCGCAACCCCGCGGATGCGGGGCGTTTTTGCTCGAGGATGCCCCGAGAGGCACGTGTCCGTCCCCCAGCATCCAGACCGCGAGGGCGCGGATACGGAGATGTCAACCGCTCTTGAGATCTTTGGCCCCGGAGTCTCCGGGGGTGGAAGGTGGAGCAGTGGGAGGAGGAAGGCGGTGAAGGATGAGGAAGGTGGAGGACGAGGAGGGTGAAGGGTGGAGGGTGGAGGAGGGTGGAGGAGGAGGGGTGAGGAGGGTGAAAAACGCTTCCCCCACCCCGATTCCCCAGGCATTGGCGGCTCAAAGACACCATGCGGATGTTTCGCAACATATTGCTCCTCCAGGGCTGAGTCTGGGCCCTATGGCCCTCAAGAAACCACGCGGGTTGAGATACCGTCCCCAGGTTCCCAGTGGCCCAAGTCTCGAGCGAACCGAGCCGCCCGACGTGCGGGAGCCCTGCGCCTCTCAGCCGCTGGACTGTCTGGTCGCTCCGTCTACAGTTCGGACCGAGGGAGACAAGGTCGAGGTCGGTTCGGGGAGGCTGTCCTGATGCTCTTCGTGTCTGTTGGATGTTCCTGTGCATCCTCGGGAGGGTGCCCTTGGTTGCTCTGTGTCTGTGGACTGGCGGAGGGCCTGGCGTTCTCGAGGGGTGCTCCTCTGGCCCAGATCCGGCGGCCACTGTGGCCTGGCGCCCTGCCCGAGCCCGACGTGCCCGATCGGCAGGCAGGCCTGCCCAGGGCCACCCGCGGCAGTGGCGCGGAGGTGGCGGCGCCTCGCGCCTCACGCCGCGGGTCAGAGGCCCGCTCTTCTCCGGGGGGGGCGCGCGTGGGCGCGGAGGTGCTCGCGCTCCGCTCGGCGCGAGGCGGGGAGGCGCGGAGCGGAGGCGGACTCGGTTGGGCGCAGCGCTCGACAGGCCGCCCACGGCTTCTCGTGAGGCGCTCCGGCTGCTGCTGCCATGCTCTTTGGTGCTGCAGCGCGGACCCGACGGCCCACCTCGAAGAAGAAGAAGGATATTAAGGATAATAAGGATAATGATAATAATAATACTACTAATAATAATAGTAGTAGTAATAATAATGATAATAATAATGATACTAACAACAATAATAATACTAACAATACTACTACTCATAATAATAATACTAATAATAGTAATACTAATACTAATAATAATATTAATAATAATACTAATCAGAAGAAGAAGAAGAGGAAGAAGAAGAAGAAGAAAAATAAGAAACATAAGAAAAATAATAATAATAAGAAACAACGGCATGACAATAAAAACTTGAGGCGCCCCGCGCGGAGTTCTTGGATCCACGCCGGGGCCCTCCGGCGCCGCCCCTGGCGCGCTCCGCGCGCCAGGGAGGGAGGCCCAGCGCAGATCCAAGAAATCTGCGCGGAGCGCCAAAAGTTTATTCTCGTGCCGGTTTTTCATCCTCTACTCGAAATCCCTTATTGATCGACCCCTCCTGAAAACCCGGACCCCCCTCCAAATGCGACCTACCCTTCCGGACCCCCCTCTTCGATGGGGCGCCTGAATAAACCGGACCCCCTATAAGCTCCAATGCAAAGAATTTCCCTACTTTAAACCGGACCCCTTCCAGTGACAAGAACGGCGCCTTGAAAAACCATACCCGGGGGACGATTCATAGGGGATTTGGGATCCAGCCCCCGGCCGCAGGCGACCGACGCCAGCAACGTCCTCTTCACCGAGGCGGGGGCGGGCAGGGTACCTCCGCCGATCCCTCTCACGGCAAGCTCGTGTCGTGTCGACCCCGGCGTTGGTTCCTGACACCGCGGGGATCGTTCGACCTTGAACGATCGGCCGTTTCCGCAACGTCCGATCGTTCAACATGGACCGATTATCCTCCTCCCTCCTCGTCCCTCCTCCTCGTTCCTCCTCGTTCCTCCTCGTTCCTCCTCGTTCCTCCTCCTCCCTCCGCCCTCTGGCCACAGACGGGCGGCCGCGCGGCCCGGAGGCGAGGCGGGAGTTGGCGGCGGGGGGGCCGTGCCACAGGCCGCCCGCGGGCCGGGGGACCGCGCCGCTTCGCCGATGCGTCGGCGACCCACCAAGCCAAACCCAACCCAACCCGAAGGCCCCAGTGGGTCGGGCGAAGAGAAGTATGCACATGCACCGATCCTGGCAAGGCCCATCCTTGACCCATGATCGGTGCATATATGTCGGGCTGGGCGAAAGGGGGGGATAATTAGCAAAGGGGGGGTTTGAGAATCAGCTCACGTAGCTGATTTTCCCGGCGCCTCCCAGCGCCGGGAGGCGGCTATGTATCGAGGAATGGGCCCCTCGGTGGGACCGAAGCCAGCTGCATGCAGCAAATTTCGTAAACCTCCCTTTCCCAATCCCCCCCTTCCGCCCGGTCCGAATATGCGCTCCTGGCCAAGGTAGGAGGGCGTATGCACCGATCCTGGGCTCAGGATGGGCCTGGCCAGAATCGGTGTATGTGCATAGTTCTTTTTCCTCCAAGTGGTGGGGGGGGTCGGGGAACATGCAAAAAAACACGCGGCACACGTACCCCCCCCAAACCCGAAGTTCGGGTCAGCTTCGGGTCTTCGGGTTGGGTTGGGTGGTCTGCTAGGTAGGCAGATGCGTCGTCGACGCGGTGCCATCCGGAGCCCGATTTCTTCCATCTGGACGTCGCCTATTCCGATGCATCGGGGATGAGGGACGGTCTTGTGGTCCCTTCAGTAGTCTGGCCCCACCGGAGGTGCCTCCGAGAGCCAAGATGAGAACGTGCGCCACCCACGGAGCTGTCGGGAAGCTGCTCCTCTCCCTCGGCGCGCGGCTCCTTTCGCGGACGCAGGCCGTGTCGTTCCGTCGGTCCTCTTTGATCGGGGATGCCTTCCCGCTGGAGGCGCCCTCGCCAGGTCAACTCGACCGCATCCTGGGAGAACACGCGCTTGCGATGCGTTGCAGAAGACTGCCTCCGGCGTCCCCTCCGAGCCACAGCCGCGCCCTCCCGCGCTCGAGAGAGAGGGGAGGGGGCACGCGTGTGCTGCGGGCAGCTGGTCTCGGCCCCGCCGCCAGAGGCGCCCTCCTCGATGCGTGGCCGCTCTCCCGGCGCCGGCTTGCTGCAGCCGACTCGGCCAGCCCACCCATTTGGACGCCCGAAATGGGTACGGAAACAATGGGCACAACGCCCAACAGCAAATGTTGCCCCGAACAAACAGCGGCCGCTGTTGGGCGGGCGGCCTTCTGTCTCGGATGGACACAGGCCGCGGCGGCGCGGACAGCGAGTCCTGCTCAAGAGGAGCAGGAATTGCTGTGGGGCATCGTACCCATTCTCTCCGTGCCCATTTCGGGCGTGCAGAACCCTTCCTTCCGCGGCGTCGGGGGCTGTCCCCACCCCCCGGGGGGCACTGCTTCCTCCGCGCCAGCGGGCGGCCCCCCCTCGAGGTGGGGACGAAGGCCCGCGGAGCCCGACGGAGGAGGCACCTGTCCCCACGAGCGCGCTCCACCGTCGCTGGCCTGACGCATGCCTCTGAAGGGAGGTCAGAAGCCACCACCCTGACCTTCCAGAGAGCCATGTTTTAGCACTGGAGGCCTAAATGCCTAAAACACGGAACGAAACATCCTAAGACCAAGACGTAGAATAGTTAGGGCTTTGGGAGAAGTGTTTAAGTCCGGTGCTATTTTTTAGCCTTTCTGGAAGGTCAGGGCAGGGGACCGCTCCCGCCCCCCCTAGTAGTTAAACAGTCTTCAGGGGGGCCGCAAACCAGGGAGAGAGCGCTTCCCGCCGCTACTGGCAGCCAGCCCCCCCCCCCCCCCCCTGGGTTCGAACCGGGGAAGGCCGAGTCCCTCCCCTCCTAACTGGGGGGGTCAGTCGGGTCGGCCCCCGGTTGGGACCGGCGGGGGGGGTGGAGGGTGCACCCGGTTCGAATTGGGTGGAGGGGCGCCCTGGTTCTAAGGGGGGCGGTTCGGGCCAGGGCTGGGGCCGGGCCAGGGCCACCAGCTGGGGCCAGGGCTCGGGCCCCCAGGGCTGGGATCAGGACCCGAGCTTGGGCAAGGAGGGCCAGGGTCCGGGGCCTGTGGCGAGGGCTGGGGCCGTGGCCGGAACTGGGTGGGCGCCCTGGTTCTAAGGGGGGCGGTTCGGGCCAGGGCTGGGGCCGGGCCAGGGCCACCAGCTGGGGCCAGGGCTCGGGCCCCCAGGGCCAGGGGCCAGGGCCAGGGTCCGGGGCCTGTGGCGAGGGCTGGGGCCGTGGCCGGAACTGGGGCCGGAGCCCAGCGCCCCATGGGTGCCAGGGCCGTTGTGGGTTGATGATGATGATGATGATGATGATGATGATGATGATGATGATGATGATGATGATGATGATGATGATGATGCTGATGCTGATGCTGATGCTGATGCTGATGCTGATGCTGATGCTGATGCGGATGCGGATGCGGATGCGGATGCGGATGCGGATGCGGATGCGGATGCGGATGCGGATGCGGATGCGGATGCGGATGCGGATGCGGATGCGGATGCGGATGCGGATGATGATGATGATGATGATGTTGATGATGATGCTGATGCGGATGCGGATGCGGATGCTGATGCTGATGCTGATGCTGATGCTGATGCGGATGATGATGCTGATGCGGATGCGGATGCTGATGTTGGTGCTGATGCTGATGCTGATGCTGATGCTGATGCTGATGATGATGATGATGATGATGACGATGGTGATGGCGATGGCGATGACGATGACGATGATGATGATGGTGATGATGATGATGATGGTGATGGTGATGGTGATGGTGATGGTGATGGTGATGGTCATGCTGATGATGCTGATGATGCTGATGATGCTGCTGATGATGCTGATGATGCTGACAGTGATGATGCTGATGATGCTGATGCTGATGGTGCTGATACTGATGATGATGATGAGGAGGATGACGATGATGATGATGATGCTGATGATGCCGATCATGATGATGATGATGCTGATGATGCTGCTGATCATGCTGATGATGCTGATGATGCTGATGATGCTGATGCTGATGATGCTGATACTGATAATGATGATGATGATGATGATGATGATGATGATGATGATGATGATGATGCTGATACTGATGCTGATGCTGATGCTGATGCTGATGCTAATGCTGATGCTGATGCGGATGCGGATGCGGATGCGGATGATGGTGATGATGATGATGATGATGCTGATGCTGATGCTGATGCTGATGCTGATGCGGATGCGGATGCGGATGCGGATGCGGATGCGGATGTTGATGTTGATGTTGATGCGGATGCGGATGCTGATGCTGATGATGATGCTGATGCGGATGCTGATGCTGATGATGATGATGATGACGATGGCGATGGCGATGGCGATGACGATGATGATGATGGTGATGATGATGATGATGATGGTGATGGTGATGGTGATGGTGATGGTCATGGTGGTGATGATGCTGATGATGCTGATGATGCTGCTGATGATGCTGATGATGCTGACAGTGATGATGCTGATGATGCTGATGCTGATGGTGCTGATACTGATGATGATGAGGAGGAGGATGACGATGATGATGATGATGATGCTGAGGATGACGATGATGATGATGATGCTGATGATGCTGCTGATCATGCTGAGCATGCTGATCATGCTGATGATGCTGATGATGCTGATGCTGATGATGATGATGAGGATGAGGATGAGGATGAGGATGACGATGATGATGATGATGATGATGCTGATGATGATGATGATGATGATGATGATGATGATGATGGTACTGGTGATGGGAATATAATAATGGTGATGCTGGTGATGATGGTGATGGTGATGATGATGATGATGACGATGCGGATGCTGGTGCTGATGTTGATGCTGATGCTGACGATGATGGTGATGATGATGATGAGGATGCTGATGAGGATAAGGATGAGGATGATGAAGATGATGATGACGATGTTGATGACGATGAGGATGATGATGATGATGATGGTTGTGGTGATGATGATGGTGACGATGGTTGCAATGATGATGGTGATGATGATGACGATGACGATGACGATGATGATGATGATGATGACGATGACGACGATGACGATGACGAGGAGGATGATGGTGATTATGATGATGATTGTAGTGGTGGTGATGCTGCTGATGGTGATGATGCTGATCTGCTGATGATGAGCATGGCAGGGTTGATGGATGGATGGATGTTTGGGTGGGTTGATTGGTGGGTGGGTTGGGGGGTGGTTGTGGTGATGATGATGGTGCTGGTGCTGGTGCTGGTGCTTGTGGTGGTTGTGATGATGATGATGATGATGATGATGATGATGATGATGATGGTGCTTATGCTGATGCTGATGATGCTGATACTGATACTGATGCTGCTGATGATGTGGAGATGGTCATGGCGGTGATCATGATGACGGTGCTGATGATGGTGGTGATGTTGATGATGATCGTGGTGGTGATGATGGTGATGATGTTGGTGGTGGTGATGGTGATGATGGTGGTGGTGGTTTGATGATGCTGATGATGGTGCTGGTGATGATGGTGATTATCTTGGTGATAGTGATAGTGACGGTGATGATGATGATGATGAGGATGATGATGATGATGATGATGATGATGATGTTGTTTATTATTATTATTATGATTATTGTGCTGGTGGTCCTGGGGATGTTGATGATGACGGTATTGATGACTAACCATTGATGATGTTGGTGTTGATGAGGATGAGGATGAGGATGACGATGATGATGGCGATGATGATGATGATGATGATGATGATGATGAGGAGGAGTCTGCCGATGAAAATGATAGTGATGGTGGTGATGCTTGTTACTGTGAGATTGATGACGCCTCATCGCTAAGTGAAGGTTGCATTTAGTATCACTTCCGCCCGTCCTACTGAACGCTCAATCATTTAGTGAATCATGTGTTTACTGTCCCGCCCGCCCGAACGGCGTCCCCGGTGATTGTGATATAGTTTCCCTCCATCTTGACCCATCTCAGATCGAAGGTTGCATTTGATGTCCCGCCCGCCCGCCCGACTGAACGCCGCATCACTGCACCACTGAGTGAACCATATATTGCGAAGGTCTTACGGCCGGGGCCGCCGACTCTGAGTGGCGATGACGACGACGACGACGACGACGACGACGACGACGACGACGACGACGACGACGACGACGACGACGACGACTAGCGCTCTCGGGGGCCTCTTGGGGGGTAGTTTAGGGGCCTCTTGGGAGGCTCTTGGGGGCCGCTTGGGAGCCTCGTGGGGGCCTCTGGGCTTCCTGGGGGTCTCTTGGGGGCCTCTTGGGGCCTCTTGGGGGGCTTCTTAGGGGCCTCTGGGGGGCCTCATGAGAGCTTCTCAGGCCGAGGGTTCGAGATGACCGTTCGGGTCCCCCGTCTGGGCTCCCTCTTGGAGCCGTTTTGGGGCCTCTTCGGCTGTCTTGGACGCCTCCTGGGCGGTCTTGGGGCCCTCTTGGGTCGTTTTGGGGCCCTCTTGGAGGCCTCTTGGGCCATCTTGGGGCGGTTTGGGGGGCATTTGGGCGTGTCTTGGAGCGTCGGGAAGCTGTCAAGGCGAGAATGCCGAAATCTTGAAAAACCGAAGGGAAATCAATGAGTTTTGCCCCTTGGGGCCCTCTTTTGAACCGTCTGGAGGCTACTTTGGCGACTTGGACCGATACTTCGGCGATTCGGGGCCCTCGAGGACCGTCTTGGGGGCATCTTGGGGTACTTTTGCCGCGTCTTGGGGCTTTTCTGGGCCCCCGACCCGCCCGGAGGGGCGTCGTATCTGAGTGGCGACCCCCCCCGGGACCCCGAGTCGTATATGGCTGGCGACCCCCCCCGGGATCTCCCCCCCTGGCGGGGAAGGGATCAAAGGGAAGGGGCTTTCCTTCGACTCAACTACAACGCTTCGCCAAGACATTTTCTTCGAGGGCGGGGTCCAGACCCTCCCGTCCCCTTGGTTTTTTAGGAGGGGGGGCTCCAACCCCTTTCCCCCTGCCAGCAGCGGCAGAAAACGCTCTTTCGGCCAAGGCTTTCATTAACCTTCGGGGTGGGGGTTTTGGTGATTCGGGATGGGGGTTAAAGATTAAGCTCTAACGACGCTGAATCCCTCCGCTCCGGGCGCCGTTCGCGGGGGACTGCCGTCTTGGGGCGCATTCGGGGAGGGCCATCCCCCGTGCGCCAGCTCGCCATCCGTCGCCGTCGGGGAGCGATGGTCGGGAGCCGGTCAGGGCCTGGCCCTGCTCTTCGCGGCGGCGCTGGTTGCGATGCTGAAGGCGGCGGTGGGGTCTGCGGCCCCGGAGGGGGACGACGACGAGAAGGACGAAGAGCACGACGACGACGAGGACGAAGACGACGAGGACGTGGATGACGCGGACAACGACGAGCAGCAAGGCGGGGGGGAGGAAGGGGACTTGGAGTGGAGTGGAGGGAACTGGGGCGAAGGGGAGGAGAAAGAAGGACGTGGGATAGCGGGAGAAGACGAAGAGGAGGAGGATGCGAACACGCGCGAAGAGGAGGAGGAGGAGGAGGAGGAGGAGGAGGAGGAGGAGGGTGAGGTGGATGATGATGATGATGATGATGATGATGATGATGATGATGATGATGATGATGATGATGCTGATGCTGATGCTGATGCTGATGCTGATGCTGATGCTGATGCTGATAATGATGATGATGATGCTGATGCTGATGCTGATGCTAATGCTGGTGCTGATGCTGATGCTAATGCTGATGCTGATGATGATGATGATGAGGAGGAGGAGGATGATGCTGATGCCGATGCTGATGCTGATGATCATGATGATGCTGCTGATGATGATGATGAGGCTGCTGCCGCTGATGATGCCGGTGATGATACTGATGATGATGGTGATGATCATGACTATGACGACGATGATGATGATGATATTTGTGATGCTGATTATGTTGCTTATGATGATTGTGATGATCATGATGCTGCTGCTGCTGCTGCTGATGATGATGATGATGATGATGATGGTGATGGTGGTGATGATAATGATGATGCTGATGCTGATGCTGATGATGATGGTGATGATCATGCTGCTGCAGATGACGACGATGATGATGAAGACGATGACGATGGTGATGATGATGATGATGACGATGCTGCTGATGCTAATGATGCTGATGATGCTGATGATGATGTTGATGATGCTGATGTTGATGATGATGCTAATACTGGCGATGATGGTCATTCTGATGAGGAGGATGATTATGATGGTGATGGTGATGGTGACGGTGATGTGAGGATGTTGATGTTGTTGGCTATGATGGTGAGGAGGGGGAGGAGATGGATGAGAATAAGTTGGAGGAAGAGAAGGATGATGATGATGATGATGATGATGATGATGATGAGGATGATTATGAGGATGATGATGATGATGATGACGATGATGATGATGATGATGATTATGATGATGATGATGATGGTGGTGGTGGTGATGATGATGATGATGCTGATGATGATGATGATGGTGATGATGATGATGATGATGTTGATGATGATGATGATGATGATGATGATGATGATACGGAGGAGGAGGAGGAGGAGGAGGAGGAGGAGGAGGAGGAGGAGGAGGAGGAGGACGACGAGCGACACTGCAGCCAGCGCTGGCAGCACCCTTACATTGTGTTCGCTCTTCGTTATGTCGGAACCCTTTGTTTGTGAAACACCTGAAGAAAGCAGCAGCCTCGATGCTATGTGTGACCAACGTCAACAAAGGCTGGACACTGCCAGCCGTGGCCATTTGGGTTCAGTCCGTTGCGGAAGGCCAGGATTTGCAGTTTCGCATTCGGGATCAGTTCTCCAACCCGCTGTCAAGGTGGTCAGACTACCGCTGCCCTCCAGCATACAGCACTGGGGTTTCATCCCCCATGTTTTTGCGAACAAGTGCGGCCCGACATTTGAGCTGATGACAAGTTCGAGTACCAACCCTGGATTCGCAAAAAGGCAGCCCGGAGGCGGCGCGAAAAGGGCTTCGCCCACCGCCCCACGGCCCCACTTGGCGCTGTGGAGAGCGCGGATGTGTCCGCAGCGACGAGCAATGGTCGTGGTGCAACCGCTGCCACGCCCAACGCCCTCCCCGCCAAGGCCTGCCGCGGCCAATGTCGGCCCGCCTTTCTTCGGAGGTGGACAGAGACCCCACCCTGACACGTCGATTAGTGAGTTGTCCGTTTTCGGTTCTCGAGAGGGCGCCGCGGCCGTCATTTTCCAGGCTTGCGCCCGCCAGGTATGGGCCCGAGGTCGTTTTCACTAAACCACGTTTTACCAAAGGGGGGTCTGTTCATCCCCGATTTCTGCCAGGCTGTGCCGAGACGCGCAGCAGCACAGCACCAGAAACCATCATCATCACCATCTTTCAGCAGCATCAGATGGATTGGAAGATCGCAAGTCGTGGAAGAGCCACGAGCCAGAGTGGCTGCATCACACGCTCGGCGCCCTTAGGCCGAAGGCTATCTTTTGGATCGCCTCGACGGCTGGAGGCTGGAGCCGATGAAGCGCTGCTCTGTCCTAGCGGTGCACGACGACGCCCAAGCATCCGGGGGCGGGCAGCAGGCTTGTCCCGCCCACCGCGGGGTTCTGGCCTCCTGCTGATCGGCCCAGGGGCCTGCCGTGCCGTCTTGGGCCCGCTTGGACGCGCCCGCCTCCGAGGAGGTCACCGGGCCTCCTGGCCATCGCCACCCTGACTGTGGGCAGCAGTTGCGCAGTGCGCGACGCCGCCCAGAAGAAGGCGGTCCCCGAGGCGGCCCGGAGGCCAGAAGAGGACGGGGCGAAGGAGGCCGAGGCAGGAGGGCGAGGACGGGGCGGCAAGCAGGGCTGCCGGAGGCCGCCCTGAGGAGGCCAGGAGGAGACGATCAGGGAAAGGAGGAGGCGGCGGCGGAGGAGGAGGAGGAGGAGGAGGGAGGGGAGGCGACCCCCGAGGACGAGGACGCAGAGGAAGGGGAGGCTCCTCAGACCCCCGCGGTGTCCGCCAGGTCGTGGAGCGCCCCGTTCTGGCCTCCCCTGCCCGCACACCTCGTTGAGCAGCGCTGCGCGGTGCTGCGCGGTGCAGGTCCCCCAAGCCGTTTCCAGAGGCTCCGACGGGTCGGACGCGCAAGGGCTCGGCCAGCTGCGCGCGCTGGCCGAGGTCGACGTCAGCCTGGCCAGCCGCGAGGCGAGGGAGGCAACGTCTCGCGCGGTAGAGGGCCTCATCCATGGCATGGCTCAGACGTGATCACTGTTCCCAACCATCCTGTGGTGTTGGGTCCTCGCTTTGAAGAGACAGCGCCCGGCGTTCCTCACTCAGTCCTTCCTCCTCCCTCCCATCCCTGCCTCTGCTCTCTGCATGTCAACCACTTCGTCACACCCCTCACACGGTTCGTGGCCCTACAGGCAGCTCCACCGAAGGCCCCAGAGGCGATGTTCGCAAGAGTCCGCGCCACCCAGTACAGCGTTTCGTGGCCCCACTGGGAGCTCCACCGAAGGCCCCAGAGGCGACATTCGCATGCGTCCGAGCCTCCGTGTACAGCGTTTCGTGGCCGTATACGCCCTGATATTAAGTCGGGCCTGTCCTTCTACAGTGGGGATATTCAAAAATGATCAAAAATAGTCTGGTGACTATTTGTTTAATATTTTTGGGCATCTTTAGAGCATTTTTGAGTATTTTTTATTTCTCGTTGAAAATCCCCCTGTAGGGGGACACGCCCGACTTTGTCTCAGTTGGGAGCTCAACCGAAGGCCCCAATAGGCGACGTTCGCATGCGTCCGCGCCAGCCAGCACAGCGCTCCGTGGCCTCAATAGGGAACTCCACAGGAAGCCCCAGAGGCGACGTTCGCATGCGCCCGCGCCAGCCAGTACAGCGTTCCGTGGCCTCAGTAGGGCACTCCACCGGCGGCTCCATTGGCCGCGGCCGCATGCGTGTCCCCGACCCAGCACAGCGCTTCGCTTCTCTTAGGGAGCTCCAGCGAAGGCCTCAGTGGCTGCGGCCGCATGCGTCTTCTTCACCTAGTAACTTAGTACCTCGCGGCAGCTCCACCGAAGGCCCCAGTGGCCGCGGCCGCATGCGTTTCCCCCACCCGGTACAGCGATTCGTGGCCCCATAGGGAGCTCCACCGAAGGCCCCAGTGGCCGCGGCCGCATGTCTCCTCCACCCAGTACAACGTTTCGTGGCCCCATGGGGAACTCCACTGAAGGTCCCAGTGGCCGCGGCCGCATGCGTTTCCTCTACGCAGTACAGCGCTTCGTGGCCCCAGTATGGAGCTCCACCGAACGCCCCAGTGGCCGCGGCCGCATGCGTTTTCCCACTCAGTACTTCGCTTCGTGGCCCCCTAGGGAGCTCCACCGAAGGCCCCAGTGGCCGCGGCCGCATGCGTCCCCCAAACCCAGTACATTGCTTTGTGGCTTTCAGAGGGAGCTATACCGAAGGCCCCCCCACACCCAGGACAGTGCTTCGTGCCCACATGGGGAGCTCCGCCGAAAGCCGCACCCACAACACGGTGCATGCAACTGCACATGGTTGTGCCCTCTGCCTGGATAATTGATTCGGCGAGGCCAGCGCCAGAAAGCTAGGAGCATCTTGGATCAACCCAGCATCGAACTTCGTGGCGAAAGACCCTACCACATGCATTTGAGAGTATCGCAATTGTGAGGCCACTACACGTGTGAAGGGTGTGCGGAAATGGGTCGGGCGGACGCATGTGGACCCTCCCACTAGGGCCTTCGGTGAAGCTCCTTATGAGGCCTGAAGCGTGCGAGAGGGGTTTCGATGCGTCGGGCGGACGCATGTGGACCCTCCCACTGGGGCCTTCGGTGAAGCTCACTTTGGGGCCACGAAGCGTGTGAGGGGTGTGCCGAAATGGGTTGTGTGGACTCATGTGGACCCTCACACATGGGCCTTCGGTGGAGCTCCGTAGGAGACCACGAAACGGGTAAGGGGTGTGCCGAAATGGGTCGTGTGGATGCCTGTGGACCCTGCGGCTGGGGCCTTCGGTGAAGTTCGCCATGTGGCCACGAAACGTGTGCAGGGGTGTGCGGAAATTGGTCGGGCGGACGCATGTGGATTTTCCCAGTGGGGCTTTTGGTGGAGCTCCCCAGGGGGGCACGACACGTGTGAGGGGTGTGCCGAAATGGACCTGCAGGATGCATTTGGTCCTTGGGCCTTCGGTGGAGCTCCCAATGGGGCCACGAAACGCGTGAGGGGTGTGCCGAAATGGGTCGCGCGGACGCATGTGGACCTGCCTTGGGGCTTAAGTGGAGCTCCGTTTGGGGCCACGAAACGTGTGAAAGGGTGTGCCGAAACTGGTAGTGCGGGCGCGTTTGGTTCCTGCCACTGGGATTTTCGGTGGAGCGCCCTGCCTGTAGGGCCACGAAGCGTGTGAGGGGTGTGCTGAAATGGTCGCCTGGTGCGGAAAGCAGAAGTCAAGAGGAGGAGGAGGAGGAGGAGGAGGAGGAGGAGGAGGAGGAGAGGAGGAGGAGGAGGAGGAGGACGAGGAGGAGGAGGACGAGGAAGAGGAGTGAGCAAGGAGCGCGGGGCGCTGTCTCTTCAAGACGAGGGCCCAGCACCACAGGGCGGTTGGGAAAAACACGAAACAAAAGGCGTGCACGGGGGATGGACGTCCGAGCGATGGCAAGCATCTGCCTGAAGCATAACTACTCCAGGAGGGAAAAAAGCGCACAGACACAACTCATCGTCGATTCCCCAGGAAATGTGGGAAGACATGGCAAGTGAGGGGGAAGGCAAAAACCCAGAAAATATGGGAACATATGGGGAATCCTGTTATTTGTGTGTATTTATTTGTGTGTCCCAGGGCCCCTTCACTACTCAGCTCCTGTCCCTATGACCGGCATCACGTTGGCTCGATGGCCGATCTCAAGGGCACCCCTGATATTGCCATCCTCTTGGGACCGCCATGCCGAGGGGTAGGGCTGGGCTCAAGTGAGCGCTCCCCGCTCCTGCTAGGTGTGCGGGATGCCGGGGCGGGCCGCCTTCGGTGCGGTGGCGCTGCGAAGTTGCGGATTCTCTCCTCCCTGCGCCCCCCTCTTTCCCACCTTCCCCCTCGTCTCGGGTCGGACGGCAGCGGGGGTTCGGAAAAGGGGGTTGCAGAACGTGCTGCGTGCAGCTGGTTTCGGCTCCGCCGTCGGACCCTTTCAGGCCTCCTCCGGAGAAAGGAGGAGCCGCGAAAACCAGCTGCGTGAGTTGTCTCGCGGGCCTCGCCTTCACAATCTTTCCCTTTCGTCCGACCCGATTATCCCAAGATCTCCCCAGACATTCGACATCTTGAAATGGGCGAAGGGCCCAACCATCTGCAGTTGTGAGTACCGCGTTGTGGGCACTGCTTTCGGTGGAGCTCCCTGTAGGGCCAGGAAGCGTGTGAGGGGTGTGCCGAAATGGGCGGGAACCGCATGCGAGCCCTGCCACAAGGGCCTTCGGTGGAGCTCCCTAATTATGGTGCGAGGATACTTGAGGGGTGTGCTGGAATGGGGATGGAACCGCGTGCAGAATCTGCCACTGGGGCCTTTGGTGGAGCTCCTGATGGAGACATGAAGCATGTGAGGGTAACTGACTGAAATGAGGGTGGAACCGCATGCGAACCCTGCCACTAAGACCTTCGGTGGAGCTCCCTAGGGGGCCACGAAACGTGAGGGGTGTGCCGAAACGTGGGAGGAGACGCATGCGAACCTCGCCACTGGGACATTCGGTGGAGCTCCCTATGGGGCCGCGAATCGCGTGAGGGGTGTGCCGTAATGCGCGCGAGGAGGGCAGAGGCAAGGATGAGAGGAGGGAGGAAGGAGCAGGAGGCAGGAGACGCGGGGCGCGGTCTCTTCGAAACGAGGACCCGACACCGCAGGGTGACTGCTCAGAACGAGGACCCACAGCACCACAGGATAGGTACGCAGGGAAAATCAAGGCGCAGGGTTTTCTGGCCCTCTCAGGATCAAATCGGGAAATGGCCTGGACTTCAGGGACCCCGTATCGAACCAACGGATGCACCGGAGGTCTGAGTCCGCGCCGCCGTCTCGCCATTCGGGGTGTTCTGCTTGCGACCACCCTGCTGGCTGTTCCGATTGACGCTCGCCACATTTACACTCCTCCTTACGTGTTGCAATGCCGATCCCTCCTATCCCTGCAGGTGGGCACCACGTTCACCGAGTTTGTCGACAGCACGGGCATGAGATCTTTTTTGGAGACGCCGATGAAGGCGGGGAGGCAGTAGTGCCGATGAAGGCGGCGAGACAGTAGTTCTGGATCCGCCTTGATGGTGAGCAAATGCTTCCTCGTGGGAGGCTCTGTAATGCGGAGGCCCCCTCTTCAATAGATTGGGGCAAGTTGGCACTGGGTTTGGAGCACATTACACATCGAAGTGAGCGCTCGTACAAGGAAGCTGGAAAAAGTGGCTGGGGCCAGCACTTTCACTCTTTCCAGCCCTGGCCAGTTTCCCAGACGAGTGCCTTGCCCTGGCGGCATTATTTCAACTGCTCCAGGCACACCGCAGCCCATGCTAGTTTTTCCAGCCCTGGCCACTTTCATTGAATTTCCTATTTCGTTTTTCCAGCTTGTCGATTACAGCTACGGTCAGGAACTTTGACTCAGAGAGTCGCTCCACCGATTCTGGCCCAAGAAGCTTCGGCGCGGCACGCTATCCTTTTCCCGGCCCCCCAGCGTCAACGTCCCGAGCCTTTCCTTAGATGCCGCCCCACGGAGCGGAGCGACACGCTATCCGCTCGCAGGGCACAGCATGTCACCTGACGATCGAACAGCACGCACCCATACCCACAGGGGGGGACCGAGGAGGCTATGGGTGCGTGTTGTCGGATGGGGGTCCCCGCTCGAACGGGAGCTTCCCCCAGGGTCCGACATCTCGCACCCATACCCATAGCCAGTTCCCCTCCTTTTCGACCCTCCTATGGGTATGGGTGTGAGTTGTTCGCTCGTCAGCCACCGGGACCGCCGCGGCGACACGCTACGCAAGAGTCCCTGTCCGTAGCACAGCGCACGCATCCCCGACCCCTGGCGCCCGAGGGCGCCGGGCCCCCCTCCGCGCCTCCCGACGCCACTTCGGGGACCATGCTCTTGGCATCGCTCGGGCGTGTGCTCTTCTTTTCGGCGGGGACTATTGAGGAGCATCCTGGATCATCCCGCGAAAAAAAAACACTACGCACGAAACCGAAACACGCACATGGAATGGACGCCCGAGCGACGGGGAGTGCTTGCCCGTCGGCAGTTGAATAATGGAACAAACAAGCGAGCGACATAAACATAAAACTCGGAGGTCCGCGCGGATTTCTCGGATCGGCGCTGGGGCCCCCCGGCGGCGCCTCCGGCGCCGCCCCTGGCGCGCTCCGCGCGCCAGGGAGGGGGTCCAGCGCCGATCCGAGAAATCCGCTGACGAAATGAGCGGGGTGGCCACATGCGAGTATGGCAACTGGGGCCTTTAGGTGGAGCTCCACGAAACGTGTGCGTGGTGTGCCGAAATGGTTGACACGCGGAGGGCAGAGGCACGGTTGGGAGGAGGGGGGAGGAGACGAAAGGAGCAGAGGAGGATTCGGGGCGCGGTCTTTTCCAAGCGAGGACCCAACACCACAAGGTAGCTGCAATAAATCAAAATGGAAATCCCGTCTGGGGAAAATGTCGGGACTTTTGCCCCCCCCAGAATTGAAAATCAAAACCTCAGATGCTTTGAACGACGACGACGACGACCACCACGACCACGACCACGACCACCACCACCACCACGACGACGACGACGACGAAGACTCACGACGACGACGACGACGACGACGACGACGACGACGAAGACTCACGACGACGACGAAGACTCACGACGACGAAGACTCACGACGACGACGACTCACGACGACGACGACGACGACGACGACGACGACGACGACGACGACGACGACGACGACACGGACGTGGTGGTGCCGACCCCCCGTGCGCATAGCCGGGGAGCCGCTCCTCAGAGGACCTGGGGAGGCCACGGCGGCTCCGGGCCGACCCCCGGGCTTTCCCCCGGGCCCCCCTCCAGTGCGCGGCGGTGGGCCCCAGGGGGGACGTCTCCAAGCAGTGGCGAAGCGTCCCGGCTCGGCTATTAGGCCCACCAGAGGCTGTGCTGAGAACCGAGGTGTTCTGAGACCATTTCTGGCGGGGTCTTGCTTTAACTCGTCGGGTGTACGTTCTGAGCGCATCGATCTTGCTCTCAAAGAGCATCTTGGGGTCCTGAGAACATGTCGCGGTAGGCCTATAATGCCAGGACGGTTGGTCCCTGCTCAAAAGACAGAGGGGGTGGGAAGGAGGCCCGTAAGGCCCCTGGCCTTCGGAGAAGTCTTCGGAGCCCTTCTCCGACGGCACAGGCGGCTTCTCACAGAAGGCCAGGGGGCTTCTGAGAAGCTCCGCCGCCTTCCGAGAAGGCCCGCCACTTCCCACTTGCCCCCCGGGTTCGCCGCCGCCGAAGCTCGGGCGGGCGCTCTCCCCGCAGCGGGTGGTTGGCGCCTGCATCGAGACGCTCGCGGGGAGGACGCCCCTCGGCGGGACGGTGCGCTACAGCATCGGTGGCGGGTGCCGGATGTGCTCTCCCCGTTGTTCTGCCACTACGCTGGTCGTTTCTCGTGAGATCGTTTTTCATCCCCTGGCGATAACAGGCGTGACGGGGGGGGGAAGAGGGAGGGGGCCAGTCACGTCGCGATTCGCGCCAGCGCCGTCTGTGAATGCTTAGGGATGGCTAATTCCCACACGGCGCCGTAGCGAATCGTGACGGGACCAGGGGAGGGGACGGGGTGGGGCGGGGCTGCTCACGTGCGTTGCTCGCAAATCATGAAAAAAAGCCGGCTTCTCAACTACAGTGTTTGCAGTCAAGACGCCAAAGTAGGGAGCAGACGTGATTTTGGAACGGGGCTCGCTGTTCCTCAGGTCCTTCCATGGTTGCTCCTCTGGCTCGGTGACAAAATCCAGAACCTACCCTCGCAGATCAACGAGCAGGCAATTCGATGCGATGGGCGTCGCGGGTAGGGTTCAGAATTGTCGAACACGTGGCGAAATCCAAACTCCACATCCGCCTCCCATCCATGGTGGGAGGCGGATGTGGATGGGTGGGGGTGGCATGGGTTCGGATATCGCCCCACACTGGCGCTCCTCGTGGAACCAGGCGCCTTCGGGGCCAGCATGGGGCTTCGTGCCTCCTTTTGCAGCGTTCCCCAGTGCACCAGCTCCACTGTGCTCTCCACTCTCCCATCTTGGCCGGCCCGTCGGCCCGTCCCTCGCCGGTGGTCTCCGCGCGTCCGAGACCTTGCCTCTTCGAAGGCAGGCCGAGCTGCGGCTCTGGATTTCCTCTCCTCGTCCTCTCCCTCCTCCTGCGGCCCCCCCGAGTCCTCGGACGCGTCCTGCCCCTTCCAAGAAGCCCCCCGCCTTCAAGCCCAGGCGTCCCGACGTCGTGAAAATCACCACTGGAGGCTTTTGGCATTTTTCGGCCTCCCTGGTTCCTTGCCGGGCCCTGGGATGGTGGACGCACGGCCCAGGCTGCAGAAGCAGTCCCACTGGAGCGACGGGAAGGGGCTCAGACCTTCGGGGTCCACGTTGCGAACCAATACCACGACGTCGGATGTCTAGGCAGGGCAGCCATGCGCCCAATCCCCCCTCTGATGGGCCTGTTTTCCACCACCACCACCACCATAAGTTGGACGGGGGAAGGAGGTGGAGGAGGAGGAGGAGGAGGAGGAGGAGGAGGAGGAGGAGCAAGAGGAGGAGGAGGAGGAGGAGCAAGAGGAGGAGGAGGAGGAGGAGGAGGAGGAGGAAAGCCACGGGCTGAGGGGGGCTGGGCCGTCGTCGCCCTCGTCGGTCGCCCCCTCGTGCTCGGGCTCGCGCGCCGCGGGCCATCGCTCGGCGCCGCGGCCGCGGCAGGCGCCCCGCCAGGACGCCTCGTGAAGGCGAACCATCCTGGCATCGGCGCCAGCGGCAGCAACGCGCTCAGGCGCGCACGCTGCTCCGAGTCCTCTCTGCCGCGAGGACCCTCGCGGAACACCACAGCGCCCAGCCCGTCGACAAGATGACGCAGGACTGGAAGCACCAGCGCGCCTGGGAGCAGGCGACTGGGAGCAGCCACACTTCTCGTGGTCATCCCGTCGGAGCTCAGCCATGGCCGTGGAGGTCGGGATCTCAGACGCGAAGACGCAGGACGTACGGGAAGAACGACGACCAGAGCTGGCAGCAGGACCGCGACGGCCACGACCAGTACGACGGCAACGCAAGCACCCGTCACAACAGCCACTGCCAGCAGCAAGACGCCAAGGACGAGCATGCTCACCACTTCACCCACCACGGCGAAGACACCCACAAGAAAGGTTCACGGGCTCGCTCCACACATCGCACAACGACACGGACGCAGAGCAGGAAGCACTACGGCGCGCACAACTTCTTCGACGGCTTCCAGTTCTCCAAGAAGCAGCGCGAGATCCTCGACCAGGTCCTCCCTGCCGACGACGTGCGCATGCAGTCCCACGAGAGCTTCTCCACGCCCCCGCTGGAGGAGGACATGCGCCGCCTTTGGGTGACAACCAAGCGCGGACGCATCGCTCGGTTGGCAGACCAAGCTCAGGGCGCACGCGCCGTCGGCGTCGACGATGCCAAGATCGTCGCAGAGCTGTCTGTCAACAAGGCAATGCTCCTCCTCACGTTGTCTCCCGACGAGCGGGTGCACTACTACCGCCGATGCATCGACACCACGGTCAGGCGAAAGAATGCGCTCAAGGACGACATCAGGAAGATGCAGACCGAGCTCGACAACACGGAGGGCAGCTTGAGGATACTACGGGCTCTACTACAGGAGTCGAAGTTTAAGAGGGACGACGCCACACCCGACCTCGAGTACGACGACTTCTACAGCGACAACGACGAGAGCGAGAAGGACCACCACAACAGGCGCAGGACTCGGACACAGACACCTCACCCACGACAGCGCGAAGATCATCGACCCCAGCAGTACGCAGCACCAGCAGCAGCACCACTTCGACAGCAGGACGACCCACACCAAAAAGGTCACAAAGAGCTGCTCGCGATGATCACGGACCTCTCCAAAAAGGTGGACCAGCAGCGACAACACACGGGACTCCATCAGCACCACCTAGCTCACCTCCACCAACAAGCTGATCTCCGACAATCCGAGCACCGCGAACAGTTGCAGGAGGAGTTTGCGCGCATGGAAGCACA